ATCATTTCTTACTGGATTGTCGTATCACTTTCTCTGCTCAGTAACTTCAATATACTTGTCACATTTTCTCTGAAGCTTCAGTGTTGTTCCTTTCTCTGTGTGCCCAACCTTCATTCTTTGTGTGACGATTGTAGCATGCCTCACCCTTTCATTGTTTCTTTGAAGTTCCGTGTTGACCTATTGGTCAACCTATTGGTCAACCTATTGGCTTGTGAGTTCCTGACAGACAAGGACTCTGCATCATAGTCCTTCACAGAGTACTAGAGGCATAGCAGGTGCCTCTCCATTGTTAGTTCAACTACTGAAAGACCATGAGAAAATTTTAATCAAATCAAACAGCACAGAAGCATAAACTAATATATTAGGCCCTAAGAGAACTAGGACTGTGCCTTTCTGTACAGCATTTGGTAATTAAAAAACAAAGATGTGTAATCAGAGACCAAATAAAGACTAATGAAAGCACACCCCCATTTCCCTGACTATTCTTTACCTTTAAGTGGATTAATCTTAATGAAAGCTATTCATTGGCTTTCACGCAACAACCAGAAACAGCTGGATGAGAAGAGATATCAATGGTCATTTGTGGAAGCCCAAATCAGAAGCAGCACATGGGTTTCAAATTCATTCCAGTTCTGATTTATTGGTAGGGATTGCCTGAAAACTGTGTTGATAAGAATTTCAAGACCATTCTTGTGTTCAGGGGAAGCATGCCATGATTGATTAGTGATGTCTGCCTTGGGCATGGATCGGAGAATATCTACCCACCTGCTAAATATTTCTGATCCTCCTATTGGTCCTAGGCTGGTTTTGCTTTGTGTTCAGATTCTGGGGAGCTATCTGCTACATGGGGAAGATCAAAAGGTCATGGCCTATAGTCCTAGCCCTTCAAGAAATACTTCTGGGAAACAATGCTATCAGCCTGTCCTCTTGCTATCTCTGGTCCCAGGGCCAGTGCCTTTGTCCTGGCTTTTAAGTTCTCTGGCCCAGAACCTTGGAGTTGGCATTCCATTCAGACCTTCTGATTTTAGACTTTGTCTTTGATCCTGGGTAGTGTCTTTCTGATCTCCTGGTTCCTTGATCTTGGGACCTCCAATATGCTTGGGATGAGAATTAATTTATTCCCAAAGGCTCTGAAATTAGAAATTGAGGAAATATTTATAGGACGTCTTCTGCGGATCAGAAAGAAAATGTGTAGGCAGTTTTAAGAATCATGCTTGGTTTCCACTGACATTTTTCCAGCATGCTTGTTAAAAAATCTAGAGCTCTAGGCCCCATTCCAGCCCTACTGAACCAGTTGGGAAGGGCAAAAATGCAATATTTCTTAAAGCAAATTCCTGTGGGCATTTTCATAGACACAACTTTGAGAACCACTGAGTTAAGGACCCTGAGCTGGTTCAGAGATTGCCAACAGTAGTCCTAGTTCTGTAGCCCTAATTATTCAGTGGAATAATGCTTCAATCAAAACCAAATCATCCCTGTTTTTAAGTGTTGTAACTCACCCTCGTTCTGTTCTGATATGTGAGAAGAGTGACCCATGGGTGCCATTGTAGAAGGCATAGTCATTTCTTCAAGCCATTATTCTTTTTCCAGCATTTTTCTCTGACCAGCAAATGCCTCAATCCTTTTCTTTCTCCTCTCTCGCCATCCTCCTAACCAAACAAATACAGATGCACAGAGGGGAAGACCTCTGAGGCCCACTGATCCCATTGCTTTTATACTAAAGTCTACTTTCCATTTGCAGAGCCAAGGGGTACAAAGCTACATGTATAAGAAATAAATATGCTGGCTCATTTAGAAAGTTCTCCAGACAAGAACTGGCTGAAAAAATTCTGGATGAACATAGCATCTATGGGGTTTCTCAGATTCTGATGGGGTAACCTTTATCTTCCCCACCTGGAGTATGCTTCTTTCCCAGCTTTATGCACAACTCCCTGTATAGATGCAGCCACAAGTCAAGTCTTTGTTTTTCATGGAAAACAATCTAGTCCTCTACCACACAGTGCCAGTGGATGACAGCGGGATGTTACCACACTTCATTAGGCCAGCTAGCGCCTACTGTGCTATTGCTTTCCCATTTGCAGTGTTTCCTTGAATCATTACAGTCGCCTAAATATCATTCCTAAAACCTAGAATCATTCTCTTATGGCTAAAGTTTACCTCTTCCATCCTGACCACATTGCAAGATCTTCACTCTGGAAGTCACAGGGTTAACAGTGATAAAACAAGATAGCGAGAATCTCCTGCACCCTCCCTAACAAAAGCAAACTTCATGGGGTTTGACGTTTTGCAGGAAAATAAGAAACATTTCTCATATTTTATGCTGTGCTAATGAAGTCAGCTGATGAGAAACTTCACAGATATCCCCGTGTAATCAAAATGAATTCAATTTCCTGAAACAGTAAATAGTTATTACTGAACTCACTGCCTAATCTTTTTGTTGTATGTTTTCTGTTACAATGGAAGTCTTACACTTGAAACATTTAAACTGTTAAATCTAAACAAAAATGGAAGGGCTATGATTCTATATGTTGCTATCTTGGCAATAATGCCTCTTGTTGAGATTTTTCTGGTGCGTTTGGCAATTTGCCGCCTTCCGCAATTTAAGTTCCATGGTTTCACGTACGTAAAATATTTTTAATTGATCACTCATGCTTCTCTAGCCATATGTCTATCATTAGGGTGTGTGCACTTTCATATGACAATTCACTGTTCCCATTTGGCAATTCAGTATCTTTAATTGTGCCTATCAACCACGTAAAACATCATAACCCATTGAGAGTCTACAAAGAGTAACATGTGTCTTCTAAACTCCGAGCTACAAAGCACCCTGTTTGAAGACATCTGAAGTTTCCCTACAGTTCACTCCTACCGGCACAATGTCTTCCAGAACAACTAGAATCAGTGAATTCAATTCCTGAAAGCTTGCATCACTTTCAGGTTTTTCGACGAGTAAATTATACCCCTGACTTTATTGAAAAGATTCACAGTCACGACTAGAAATGGCTAGAAATGACAAATGAAATAAGAGAGACATATATTGTCAAATATGCATTACAACAAGGTTCATCTATAAAACAACAGCAATTATTCCCGCCTTTTATAGTCCTCAAGAATAAATTTATAGGAACTTAATGTTTTAACCTGTTGTATGGGGAACTGTGTTTGTTTTAAGAACAAAATAACTATTACCTCCATAGGTTTGGAGGACGCACATCATTCCCCATAAAAAGTTCAATGATTATCAACTTACCAGCATACATTTGGAGAACTGTTTTTCTTCTTCTCTCTATTGCATTTCACTACCCTAACTCATATTTTACCATTCCCTTGGCCCAGGGATAGATAGAAGCAATAAAATGAAAATCAAGTTGGTTTCACAGACAGTAAATATGAATTATGAATTTGAAACATACAGTTGGAAACATACTATGCTCATTGAGCATATATTTTAGAAGAACTTCCTCTAAGACATTTTATGACTAACACCATAATCTGGAACTGTTCACTTGTGCTTGGTTTTAGAATTCTTCGTGCTTTCATGAGATATTCACTTTTTTTTTTTTAAACACAGTCCAAACTTATAGCTTCTGAGTCAAACAATTTAGGTAAAAGACACATTTTTAGTTAGGAAACCAGCCAAATCCTTTATATTATTATACAAAGAACAGAAGTTACAATAAAAAAGTCAGATTCAACTAATTTCTAGAAACATAAATTTGTAGATTTGTAGACATTCCTGTTTCAATCCTTGTTTTCCCCATTTAGGGCACGAAGTCCCTGAATATTTGAGACTTCTCCAAAGTAACATGGCATTAGGCTGGACCCCCAATGTCTTAACTTCTCATCAAGCTACAGCTGTGTTCTGTCCTGTAGAGTGTTCCACTTAGGACTCTAGGTCCCAGTTCTGGTTTGAGCTGTCCCAACATGTCAGAGCCGCCTTCATCAAGTGAAAGAAACCACATCTTATTAAGATCAACGTATCAGGATTCCCCAATTTGCATATACACAAAACGATAGCCAGATGGGGTGAGTATGGAAGTCAGATGTATACGAATCATGTCTAGAACAACACCTTAGCATTGCCTAATTTGCATGCATGTCAGACCTACAGCTAGACATATATTAACTTCATTAAGAATCAACGCATTAGGGCTGACTAATTTACAGAGTCATAAAAACTTATAACTATATTGGGGGAGCATGTACACTAACCATATCTAGGATTAACATATTAGGGCCCACTAAGTTTGAAAACTGAACTTTCACAGCTTGCTGACACGTGCTTTCCTACCTACTGTTCCTCCTTCTGCTGGAAAGTTGAGTCTCGGGGATCACTCTGCATCACTTGACGTGATTAATGTACATCTAGCTGTAGGGAGCCTGGGGTGGAATGATAACTAAATCTCTCTTGAAGTCACCCATCTGGTTTCCTTTCTTTCTTTCTTTATATATATATATATATATATATATATATGTACACACACACACACACATATGTGCAATTGGGCAACTCTAATATGCTGTATAGCTCATATACTAGATCCAGTCCACAGACACAGCCTACATAGCCACTAAGAAGAGAGAGAGAGCTAGTAACGACCATCCTTGTCCTGGAGGATAAGGAATTGTGGCCCTCTTTTCCTATCTCAAAGAAATACGTGTGTAAATACAGAGAGTGGGAAATGAATGAACATGAAAGTTTAATTTAGGTAGATTAGATAATTTTATACTGGAAAAGCTCTTACTACATTGAATAATTCTATGATAAATTAACTTCAGAAGGCTAACTTTGGTTGGCTTCCACTGGAATAAATGTAGCACAGTTCACTGCTGCTTTTAGACTTCTATAGCATGGATGCCTATTAATCCAGGATTTCTCTACTCTTGGGAATACCATTCTGCATATATAGAACTTCTCACTCTACACAATCAAGTTGGTTTCAATATTTACAAAAATGAACACATTTTTGAAACGTGGTGTGGTGTGAATTTTCACTTACCTTTTCCGCTGACTGCGCAGTGCCAAAAAAAATTGGAATGAAGGCAAGCCATACTATACATGTTGTGTACATAGTGAATCCAATGGGCTTAGCTTCATTAAAATTCTCTGGGACACCCCGAGTCTTGATGGCATACACAGTACATGTGACCATGAGAAGAATGCTATATCCCAAGGAGCAAATGATTTGGAGATCTGTAATGTCACATTTGAGAACACCCCTGGCCTGCTCAGGGTTCATTGTCTTATGTTCATCATAGTCTATGATGATGTTGGGTGGATCGACACCAAACCAAATGAAAACACCTAGAAGCTGAACTGATATTAAACTGGAGGTGATTGCCAGCTGTGATGTTGGACTTATGAGTCTGGGAGCTGTTACTGATTTCTTGCCCTGTTCAAATATGCGATAAATCCGATTGGTTTTTGTCAAGAGGGCTGCATAACTGATGCACATGCCCAAGCCCAAGAAAACTCTCCGGAAAGAACACACTGCCACATCAGGTTTGGCTATCATCAGGAAAGTGATGATGTAGCAAAGAAAGATGCCTGTCAATAAAACATAACTCAGTTCCCGCCCCGATGCCCGGACGATGGGTGTGTCGTTGTAGCGGATGAAAGTCGCCATAACAAAGATGGTGGCAATGATCCCCAACATTGCTAGGAAGACAGGGATAACTGCCCAGGGGGAATGCCACTCCAGTTTGATGATGGGGATATCCTGGCAGCCAGTTCGGTTTTCATTGGGCCGCTGATCATAGGGACAATGCTGGCACGTCATCTCATCAAACTGGTACTGGTAGCCATCGCAAGGCTCACAGGTCCAGCAGCAAGGAGTTCCCTTTTGCGTCTTCTTTCTTTGGCCAGGCTTGCATGGCAGTGTACACACTGAGGCCGGGATCTCCCGGAGTCCTTTACCCCACTGCATGTCCTCTATCTGCAGCATAAGAAATAAGAAGGTACAAACAAGAAGATTACTCAAGAGAAAAGAAAAAGAACAATAACAACAAACAGTAATCATAGCAGTGTTTGACATTGGACCAGGTTAAGTAACTTACCCCCAGCTAGTAGGAGCTACAACCAAGATCTGACTCCCCACCATTTCACTGTGGCGTCTTTCCTCCTCATCACTGTAGACTGTATTCCCCACATGCCTGATTCTAAGAATTCCCTGTGGCAACTCCTCAAAATACAGATTCTCTATTCCCACCCTAGACCCTAGACAAGAATACCTTGAAAAAGAGCCTTTGGTTCCATATTTTTAACAAGTGCCCAGAGGACTCTTAAGATTAGCTAAATTACGAAATACTGACATGCTCTCTACTACCTTCTCCTGGATAATAAGTGCAAATGTACCAAGTCAAGTTAAAAACAAAGAAAAATCTTAAGTATATGAAAAGCTCCATTCATCTCCTTTATTAGGCATTTTTTGAAAAATTGTTTTAAAGTTATTTTGGATGATATTGCAGTGCTGACCATCTTCCCTGAAATTCTGTAGTTGTCACTGCCATGTTTATTGAGAAATTTTGAAGCAAAGTGAACTATTCTACTATTTATCACAGAGGCGCAATAAGGTTCATTACTGAAGGCTTCAATTGTTGTAGTGTACATCCTAAGAGATCAGCAAGCATTTGATAAGAAAATAAGATGGTCTGGAAACCTCTAAAGATGGGCCATTACCTATCTGGTGATGACATTTAAGCTAAAACACTATATCCTAGAGAAGGATGAAAGTGTTTTTGCTTAATTAGAATATTGGTTTTCTGGAGGTGAATTCATAATTAACAGTGTTGTGAGAAATCCTGGTATTAGAAACAAAGAAAAACTTTATTATTGGGCTGAAATCTCGTGGTAGTGAATCTCTCTCATCTTTGCTGGCACAGCATCTATTCTTCCTCTTTCTGGGTATTGGGTCCTCAGACTTTTTTTCTGTGTTCTTTCTGTGGGATAGAACTTACACTGAAGCTCCGGGGGTTGCACACATGACCCAGGCTTGGTCAATCAGCATATTGCAGTCGTTCTCAAGCTTGAGTGTGCATCAGAGTCACTTGGAAGGCTTGTACTACCCAGTACGCTGGGCCCTACTCTCAGATTTTCTGATTCACCGGGTCTGGGATGGGACCTGAAAATATGTACTGTATTTCTAACACAATCTCAGGTAATATTGCTGGGGATTCTCTAGGCACCACACTTTGTCAACCACTGGTACATTCCAACCTCCTAGCCACAGAGATTGGGTCATGGGTGGGATCATTATGAAATAGTATGGAATTTAATTTCATGACTTTTATTGAGTTTACACAGAATAAAAATCTTTGTTTTTGTTGGATTTGCAGTTTCCAGATGTAAGGACGCTGGTGCTCACGGCCACTAAAAGGAAGGAGTTTATCAGAGAAAGAAGCCAACATAAAGGAAAGCAAAGAGGAGTATTGAAGAGAAAGATTACTGATGAGCCTGTTTGAGCTCCTAGATATGGCTATGCCTGAAGCAGGAATTCCCTAGGCTGTGCTATTATGTAAACCAGTAAATTCTGCTATGCTGAAATACTTTGAATTGTATTTCTACTACTTGCAACCAAGAGTCCTGAAAAATATATGTCCTAAATGAATAATTTCAGGATCTACGCGATGCAAAAGATATACTTAGCAAATTAATTTACAAAATAAATTCCAGTGATCAAATTTGGCTGATATTCCCCATACCTAGTTAGTTGAATTTTTAATACACTTGAATTAAAAAATAAGTCAGAAAGATACTAGACAGTCCAATACTTTTTCATATGTATAATTTTAAGAGATAGTGGAAATAAAACTAATTTATTGCTCATTGAAATGTCAGTGCTGTGTTAAAACAGGATGCAATGTACAGCAGGGTGTGATACTTCCATCAAAACTCGAACGAGTACTACATTCAATATCTAAATCAAATGTAGTTGACTCTGAAAAAAGATTGGCTCAGGGATTAAACTTCATAAAATATCCCAACCTTCTAATAGTTTAATTTAAACTTTAACCCAAGACCCAAGAATCTTAAGACGACTCTTGTGAACTCACTTGCCTGAGCACGAAACCCAAGTCAGCACCAATAAATCTAACTAAATATAAAATATGATCATTTCTTTCTCAACATCATCGTTTTTGTGGCAGTTAAGTCACTGGCAGCCATCCCAAAGCCATAAAATTAAGGAAATAATTTGTAACAAGAGAGAAAAAGATATGCATTAACTTTATAAATGTCAAATTTCCAGAAGTAGGAACCTAAAAAATTGCCATTGTTAATACAAATGTTTCCAAATGTCCAATTAAAAGGTCCTACTCATGGTTAGTAAGAAAGATTAACAACAACAACAAAAACCATAAATAAATTTCATTAGCCAAACTTGTGATTACCTGATTCCAACACTAGTGGATACTAACATGCCATATGATTAAACTTGATCTATAAATGTAGGGCTCACACAAATATAAAATAAAATTATTATTATATGTAATATTTTATAGCCAACTTCAAATGTTGCCAGCTCACTATTTTTTTTCCCTTGGAATAAAACAAAATGCCCAGCAATGCTGAAGAGCTTCTTTTCCTCAGCTTATCCAAGTATGTACAAGAGCCGTAACTACAAACATTACCTTGACTGATTACTTAATTTGTTTTCAATTTTCATTTAACGTAGATTTCAACTCAATTTAATTGTATATATTAGACCAACAAAGTCGCCTCTTGGTCCAAATGAACAAAAGTCTAATTTACTTGCTTTGCCAACAAAAATCATTATTGAAAATATAATCTGTGTTCTATGAAGCTACCAACTGCCTTTTAAAAGCTCTAATAAGTGACAAGTTTGTTAAAGTGACACATATGATTTGCGTATATCTATATCCATCGAGGTAAACTTAGTGCCTTGTTTCATAAGAAGAAACAGCTGCAAATGCCCATGGGCACACATTTACAAGAGAATAATAATTGAGGGCTATGAAAAATCAACAGTAATGTTAATTTACTTTGCCAGAAGGCTAGTAGGAAGGCAAATTTCAAGTTTATTCTGAACTCTGCAATAAATCTGTATTTCAGTTAGCTAGAAAGCCAAAGTTGAGGTACAGAAAGATTAGGGACAAGGCCAGGATGTTAACATCATCTTCTTTAGAAGATATAGTTCTAAATTCCCTGCCAGGGATACATTTTCCTCCTGGATGCCCAAAGTTTATGGTTACTGGATACAGGATCTGCTCAGTAGCAGGGTCGTGGGGAAGGGCGATTGAGACCCCTGCTCTTGGGAAGAGAACAGAATTTATAGCTAGTACCATCAATTAACACCACGCATGGCACACAGATTATGTGGATAGGCGAACCAACGTTTCAGGAAAGAGAAAATTATGCAGTCATGGCCAATGAAAGCAAAAATAAGCCCGTGGTCGAGTCCTAGGAAAGTGTTCTTCATTCTCAAAAAAAGAGACACAAAGAAGGGATATGTTCTCTTCAGTCTTCGAAATTTGATGTATGCAAACACAATGTATGGAGTTGCAACAGTCATTTTGCAACCATAAAGAGACAAGCCTAAGGAACAAAGCCAGTATGCTGAGGATAGCAAAAAAAAAAAAGACAGATAAAAATAATTTGTTTCTTTAATGGCATAATTATGTCACCAAATTAACCAACACTAGTACCACTTTACCCCTGAATTTCAAAAAAAGAAGATAAACTCTCCTTACTGGTTAACCAGGTCTTTGTGGGTAGTCTACTACTTGCAGTCAAACATCTGACTAGCACATTCTTTCTTGCTTCTGCATCTGGTGTGTGCAGACCTTCTGAGTCTGTTAGACAATTAGCCAGTAATTCAATTTCTTACATGGACAGTAGTTTGCTCTGAAGGAAAGGGGACTTTCAAATCACGCATGATCAGAAACACTTGGCTTTGTCTCCTGAAAATGCTCAGGAAAAAGGGTGGTAAAGTCCTGAACTCAGAAAGTCAGCTGTGACTCCATTGCCTCTGGCTCAGAAAAAACAATGAAAAAGCACCTGTCAGCCACAGTTCTCTAGCACAAGTGTCTGGCAAAGAAAACTTGGGGTCTGGTTCCAGCAGCAGAGAGAACTACTCCACAGGGAATGTGCAGACCTTATAATTACTAGAATTTTAAAATAAAACCAAATTAGTTGCTGACCTACTGCCAAATGCAGACATCAAACAGAGATAGAATTTTTATAAACACTGGTGCATCCATTTTTATCTAGATCTGTTCTTGCTCCACACGGAAATTTGCTATCTGAAAGAGAATTTTGTCACTCCAGGGATAATTTCTTTGGTGAAATTCTATTTGCATATTTCCAAAGCTTACTCTGTAAACCAAGCTGGCTGGTGCTTTCATTGCATAATTCTCTGCAATACTATTTTTACTTATTAAAATCTTAATAGAATGAGCTAATTTAAAAAGAACTTTCTAATTAAAACACCATTTGTTCATTAAAATACGTTTGTCCTGTCTGATTTATGGAAAAAGCTTTTTAGGAAAAATACACAGGAATATTGAATTTTTAGTCCTAGAAAAGAGCCAGGTTTCGGTTCTGGTGTGTGTGTGGGGGTAAGGTGGAGTGGCTAGCAAGAGCCTCACGTGGAATTCTGTACCATCTCTATGCTTAAAAAAGACTAGCTCCTATTTTTAAAGCTGAGGCAGCATGATTAGACTATGAAACAGAATTTGGGGACTGCTATATTACAATAAAAACACACATTAATTCAGATTCTACTTATTCAAAATTTGTAATTATAGAAATCATCCTTTTTTATGTACTCTAGGAAAAAAGTGTCATACACAGAACTATTAGGATTGGCTTTTAACTAAGGTAGGTCCGGGCGTTCGTGGAGGGGTTCAGAGCTTCATCTCACTACAAAGCCTCCGGAGGTCCAACATGTGGACAACTTTGCACAGTTACTGAGACTTT